CACAGGCAGAACCAAGAAAAGGATCTGCTGACTCCTGTTCAGCGCTGACTCCTTCTGAACATGCTTCCTGTTTGATCACTGAAAAAGCATGGGCCAGATTCACACTGATCTTTCTCAGCAGGAGCTTTTTGCTTGAATAAGAGCCAGCTCTGAAGATAAAAAATTCTACAGACGTCCCAAGTATGGCTGTTACTATTAGAAAGCCATTTTCCTCTTACTCAAAAAAAAATCACAGAAAACCTCAGTGGCAAATCAAAATTTAGTATTGATCTTGCTCCTTCTCCTTTGAGCACAAGAGTTTAAGGGTCTTTCCCTCTCTGACTTTCTCCCACTACACAATAGTTTTCAAGGCAGCAGATCCCACTGCCACCCCCCTCCTTGAATATATATTACTTCTCAGCAGGCTCCGGAAGGAGTCAAGAAGAAGCCAGTCTGTGATGGAGAGAACAGAAGATCTCCCATAATAGCACAGAGAAGACAGAAAATTGCTGCCAAAAGTGTAAATTGCTTTTTTTGCTTGGGAAAAAAAAAAATCACTCTGGGCTTCAAAGACACCCTCCTAAAAGATGACCCCACAGCGGTTAAGAGCCTTGTTCTACACATCAGGACTTTTTTTCCTCCACACCCTCCACGAATCCTATCTATATGACTGTGTATCACGGATTTGAGGCATAAACTGTCCTACGGAGAGGCAACAGGCAGCTATTCTGTGGGGTCAAAGGACGGCTTGTTTTCCTGCCTCCCAGTGAGTCTAAAAGCACCTCTTCTGCTGCTGACCCTCAGAGGACATTGTGTGAGGATGAAGGATGAAGAAATATATCTTTATAATGACAGAGGCTAAGAAGAGAAGTAGTAGCTTGCAGAAAATAGAGGCCACAGGAATTCAACGTCAAAGAAAGTAAGAACATCTATGTTAGAGGAACAAGACCAAAGCAATCCTTTGAGGATTATGCGTGAATCCTCTTGGCTTTCGTACATGGTCACAGAGAGAAGGGTGCTGGTCCTGGAGGTAATCCCAATGGTGATTGGGGAATGGGCCCTGAAGCCTAACTAGATTCAAACCCTAGCTCTGCCACTTAACAGCTGAGGGGTCTAGGGCAAGTTAATCTCTCGGAGCATTAATTTCCTCATTTCACAAATGGGATAATAACTACATCATCTAAGGTTTGCATGGGGCTTCAATGAGAATATCTAGAAAGCACTCTGTCCATAGCATACTTTAAATAAATCGCAGCTTTTTAATTACTGCTAATTAGCAGGACAACTGCACAACAAAGTCTGGGGCAAGGAAAAGACATGATCAAAAGCACAACATTTGGCCACCTCATGCTGAACAGCTTAGGAAGTCAAGACTGAAAAGAGGAAAGAAGGCAGGGAGACTCCAGCTGGTAAGAAGGGAAGAAAACACAGACAAACAAATACGTTTCAATAGGACAAGAATTCTCCTTTGTTACTGCCACTGTGGAGACTGGTTGGTGTCCCACTCCCCCTGGACTTCCGTGCAGACAGGAAGTGGCTGTGTGGAGAAAATGCTAGCAAAGGAGACCCAGGTATAATAATCCAAACAGAACTGGAACTTCAGGTCTCCAGATTCATTGCTCTTCTATCTCTTGTGCAGGGAGACCCATACTTCCTACCTGCCCCCCTTTCACATCAAACCCTCATTTAATATTGTCAGCAATACACAAGTCTCTGGAACAAAATTCTGTTTGGCTTATTGAGATGGTAAAGTGTATATCATAAGTGAGAAAAATTTCAGATCAAAGGCAATTTGCTCTGAAGTGTCAATTAGAAGAAACTGAGCCAAATGGTAGTTCAACACAAACAAACCAAATGGAACCAACAGATACAAATTTAAAGATTGAAAAGAAAACTGGACTCCTCTCTTTCTGCCAAATTGGAATGTGTTCTTCAAATGCTCATCGCACCAAAAAAAAAAAAAAAAAAAAGGTTTCTATTACATCCCAGTCCAACAGAATCCCTGCTGACATAGATGGCAGCCTTGCTCAAGGGAGACAGCTTGCCATCTTGGTTGCTAGTAAAAAAACTCTGTGCTTCACCACTATCTCGTCAAAACGACACGAAGGCATCGGCAATTAAACTCTAAAGCCAGTATCTTACACTAAACAGTATCTTTCAAGGGAGTTAATCTCTTTATAAGGTCCTTGTATTCTTCTAATCAAGTGACTCTGGCATAAGGTCATAAAGACAAGAGGAGCGTGTTCATCCCATCACACCTGCTGAGGTACGTCCTTTATATCGTGGTCTTATTTGAACTCTCTTCCTGGGAAAGGAGGAGGTCCAGAGCTCTGAGCGGCCTGGATTTTAGGGAGCTAGAGGTAGTATTGAGGAGCCCTGGTGGTGCAGCGCTTAAACACCCAGGGGCTAACTGAAAGGTTGATGGTTCGAACCCATCAGCCACTCCATGGGAGAAAGATTTGGCAGTCTGCTTCCATGAAGATTTACAGCCTTGGAAACCCTACGGGGCAGTTCCACGCTGTCCTATAGGCTTGTTATGAGTCAGAATCGATTCGATGGCAATGGGTTTGGTTTTGGCTTTAGAGCTAGTATTGAGAGTCAAAGAGGTGAAATGCTAAATAGAAAATTTAAAGAGTGTGTCTTAACCAAAGGTCTGTGCAAAATGGTGAACTTCGTCAATAACTAGAAAAGATGTTGACTTAGGCTCTCATCATCACTAGCCTAGTTTAACTAGTCTCCCAGGCTTTAGTCTTGACCCACCTCCAATTCATTTTTTTTCATTCTGCAGGCAAGGGAGGCTTCTAAAATGCAAATCTGCTCAGGTTAATTCTGTCCAAAATTCTTCTAACTGCTTCCCACTGCCTTCAGGACAGAGCTCAAATTCCTTAAGGAGGCCTATAAGGCCCTAAATGATCTGGGCTCTGCTTTCTTTCCTCCACTTTTGTCTTGCCAGTCTGGAGCTTTTAAACAAGTTGTTCCCTCTACCTACAATCCTATCCCTGGCTCCTCCTTGCCTGCCTTCTCATATCTCAGACTTTTGTTTATATATAACCTTTTTTGGTAAGCCTTCCTCTATCCTCTCCAAAACTGATTTAAAAGCCCTTCCCAAAGCAGTCTAAACTTCCATCATCATAGCACTGCCCTCATAGTATTAGTGCCCAGTTATACACTAATCATCTTTCATTAGACTCAGGACCCACAGGGGCAGGAACCATGTCTGTCTCTGTTACCTATGTATATGCAGTATATAACACAGGCCTGACACATAGAGGAGGGTCATAATAAATATATTTTAAATGAATAAAAGAAGAAAGGAAGGGAGGGAGGAAAAGAAAGAGGGAGGGAGGGGAGAAGGAAATGAACCATAACACAGAGGGAACTTGTTCCTGAGTATGGCTGGAAGATGGAGTTTGAAGGGACTGCCTGAGGTTCTATAGGTTTAAAGCAGAGTGCCTGTGGCTTTAGCCATGGTAGAGAAGGAGCTGAGTAGGTCCTTGCAGTTCTAGACTAGACACTAAGAACCACAGTTCCCAAAGGAGGGAAGTGTCAGGAGATGCAGATGTGGGATAACATATGGCACTAAAAAGGGGCTCAAGATGTGGTGACAGAGAAGGAATTGTATTTATTACTTTGTAAA